CTCTACATTAATATTTATCTCAGCACAGTGTCTTGCTTAAACTCTGCCGTCATGTGTCCACATTCACCTGTCTGTCTGTAGATCCACACGTCTCTGATCAATGGTCGTCCCAGTGCAGACGACCCCTCCCCGACCCTGCTGAACTTCACCTCCGCCCGCTACATCAGGCTGGTGTTTCAGCGAATCAGAACGCTGAACGCTGACCTCATGACTCTGACCCTCCGAGACCCCAAAGATGTCGATCCAATTGTGACGAGACGGGTGAGGCTGAACACACACGATCAACACTTCTCCTTTCTCTTTTGTTCCCCCCTTTTTCTGCTTTTCTTGATATCGATGCCGTCACGACCAGACGGCTGAAGTACAGCACACCACGTGAACAACATTTATACTGCTTTCTTTGGTTTTATATATCTCGGTGTGACCACAAATACAGGATGACCCACAGCATACATGAACTCCTTTTTTGTTTTCTATCACAAAATATGAATTCATCTTTCAGGAAAAATACAAATACTTAATAAATGATCTTGTTAGTTTTATATGACAGTGGCTTAGTTATGACTTAGTTAGTGTCAAGGTCAAGCTTCTGTGACTACATCTTTAAGTATGTTTTTATATTTATAGCCTGGTCTGTCTCCTTTTTTAAAATTAATAATTAAAGTCATAATGTTTTAATTGTCAAATAATAAATGGCTCATCATTACAAGACACTTAGTATTAGAAGTGACTTGCAAAAAGTTGATGTAATTGAGATACAGATATGACCTTTTATTGACCTTCGAGGCAAGGCGAGTCTATTATAAAGCAGCATTAATTTATAGAGCAATTCAAAGTCACATTTTCCTGCTGTGACCCAAGTGAACCAGAAATGAGCAGGTACTGTGGTAATGAACTAAATTCAACCTTGACTCATTTATATTGTACCAAAGTTAGAAGCTTTTTTTAGTGGTAATTGCGAAGTACATTTTCTGTCTCATTCTCTCTGTTCTCGCTAATTAGATGATTAAGAAAGGGGCAACAAAGTGAGCACATGGAGCATGTAGGGTACATCATTTTCTGTATATTAAACTCAATTAGTCTTAAATGTAGTTTTGACTTGGAAGTTCGGAGTCTTTTGTGTCTTTGTTGACTAGCAGAGAGGATTAAAGCAATGTGTACTGAACAAAAAGCCATTTAGCTGGAATGCTAATAGATCCATCACCAGATGTTGTGTCAGACACAGCGTCATGATGCGATTGGTTAGGTCAGGAGACCTTCTTTACGAGTGTAAAGTCACAAACACTGCGTCTTAAACTGCTCATATTAATGATGATGTTTCTCTTTTCAGTACTACTATTCCATAAAAGACATCTCAGTGGGCGGGATGTGTATCTGTTACGGCCATGCCAAAGCCTGTCCTCTCAACACTGAAACAAAGGTAAGAAACTCAACTTTATTTCTCTCAGTTCACTTTACAAAACAGACGAGGTAACACAGCTGTTTCATTCCTTTAATAGAAGCAAAGAACACCCTCAGGCATCAGCTTTTATCCAATGCCTTTATATCAAACTTTCTGTGTGAGTGTGTGTGTGTGTGTGTGTGAGAGTGTGTGTGTGTGTGCGTGACTGTGTGCAGGGGACACAGGTGACGCAGTGAAGCGTTGTCTCCCATGTCACTTCAAACAGTGGAGTGTTTGATACCAGACACCTGATCTTTCTCTGTCTCACTCACTCACTCGCACGCACACACACACACACACACACACACACACACACACACACACACACACACACACACACACACACACACACACACACACACACACACACACACACACACACACACACACACACACACACTCAGAGTTTCAGACTCTTTTGTCCTTTACATGTCCCGAGGCTGAACCACAAAGATCAACTCAGATGTGACACTGGTGTCTTGTCCCTTGGTGATGATGTCATTGACAATATGTGATGTCACTGATCGAGCACCAGTTTCTCCTGTTTTCTTTTCCTCTTGTTTCAACAGAGCAGATGAAATAGGTTCTTCAAATAGTATAAAAAAAGCAAACAAATTGACCAAATGTTTTCTTCTTTCAGAGTAAATTATATAATTATAGACTCTATTGTTTGCAAAACTGTCTTCATCTTTCTTCATACGTCACTATCCATATTAACATGCAGCCCAAAGTGCATAACAGAGCAAGATAAAAAAGAGCCTAGACAATAAGGGGGCACTGGTAGCCTAGTGGTTAGTTCGCATGCACCATGTACAGAGGCTAAAGTCCTCAAGAGCGGGCAGCCTGGGTTTGAATCTGACCTGCGGCCCCTTACCAGCATGTCATTCCCCACTCTCTCTCTCCTTGAATTCTGATTCTATCCACTCTCCTGTCTCTCCAATAAAGGCATAAAAAGCCCCAAAATAAATCTAAAATCAAATTTAAAAAAAGAGCCGGGCCAAACGAGCAATTAAAACATGTGAACAAATAATTAAACAAGTAAACATTAAGAGAAAAAATATATATTTAAGGATCAAAAAGCCTTTGAACCCAAATACATCACACTGAACATAACACACTGATCTTATTTCCCTGATGAATGGTATTGACTAATAAGTGTACACAAACACAGTTGAAGTCAAATCAAAACTGCTGCTTTTATCGAAGTGCAAAGATGCTCTGAAGTATTTATCATGAATTAGTTTCAAGTTACTTTAAGCTACTCCCATACTGACCATTGATTTGCTTAAGATTTTACTTAAGAAAATGTTCACAAACCGATGTTTGGTTTAGGCATTCAAACATGAGACCTAAATAGGTGGATTTGATCAAGGAAGATAAAGCTGTTTTATTCAATATTTTTTTCCCATATTCTGCTTTTTCTGGTTTTATATGCCCTTTAGTGTGTTTTCCAAGTGTCCTGTGCATGTTTAGGCACATCTATGTGCAAAAATTCAAATTCTTCTCCTACGTCCTCCTGCTAGCTGTAGCATTAGCTGCATGTAACGCTCGGTTCTAGCCCCCCTCAATAAAAATGTGTCAGTCTGACGTCATTGTCAGTGTGAGATCACTGATCTAAGCCCATTGGCTCGTTGTGGCAAGCCCTGCAGCTCATGTTGAAATTTCTGAGACGCGTGCTGAGCAACTGACCAATAACGACAGAGCGGATCGGCAGACCAATCAGAGCAAACTTGGCCCACGTAGGGTCTAACAGTGTGGGCTCAACAGAGTGTAACTGACGGATTCAGAGCGTAGAGGGAGCAAGGAGGAGCATGAAAACAGACACTTTTTTATAACTTTAGCTATTGTGAACGTACAAAAGTAGGTACATAGATTAAATATACGAACCCCAAAAAGGGCATAATATGACCTCTTTAAGGTAGCTTATCATTACTCAAAAATAAACCAAGTGGTCTAGGTATAACACATTATCATCTGCATATAGTTTATGTTCCTGGTTTTAAGACAGATTTCATTCAGCCGGGTGATTCAAGACACATTTAGCTCCTTAACTTCAATACAAGTTCATCCATCCGTTCATTGAAGTCCTGCGCAGGCGTTCAGAAAAGCAGAACAAGGTGGAGACCCATGAGACGATTTGTTGATGATCGCGTACACAACATTTGTTCAGATGCATGCTCAGTACAAAGGCAGCCTGGAGCCAGAGCTGTAGCGCTGTGTCTCAGATAAAAGGGGCAAATCAAGTCGTGCCAACAAATCTGAAAGTTGGCCCTCGCTCTGCTATTGTGCTGCTCTCCTCGCAGTTAAATCTGGCACCCTCTCCACATCAGCCCATTTAACAGAAAGTCATAAATTGAATTACTGAACCTCAAAGTTGGCAAATTTCCTTCTTCATTCTGCTACGACTGTGTTTAGTTTTGTATTTATTTCTCTCCAGGGAGAGTAATAGTGAACCAATTTGCTACCGACTGACAATCTGGGAAGTGAACTGAGTTCTTTTGCTGCAGTCGGCTCTCCTGTGAATAGATTGTTGTTTGATAAGCTCCCAATAGGTCAGACATATTAGTAATTACCTGTTGGTGCGGCACTGCTTTACACACTCACATAAGTTATGTCAAATCACATCTTGGACAAAGATGGTTTATTCACACACACTTCGTCATTATAAACCGTTTATTAATGTAAGTGACATTCAACCGGTAACCTCCAAGGTTAAAAAATAAAGCCAATGCAGGATTGCAAAATACTGTGTGTGAGGGTCTGCTTGAGGCAGGCTGCAGGAGCCCCGGAAGTCGCCACAACATTCAAAAAAGCCAGTTTTCAAAGCAGGAAAGAACATGTTTACAGCCCAGTACAAAGAAACGATATTTGTCTGATTATTTATTGTCCTCACGGGCACACAATGTACAGGGGGAGAAATTTTAAATAATGCATCTGTTTTGATTTTGTAAACGATATGTGTTATCCATAGTTAGGCTCGTAGCTGACATGATTGACAGGTGGTCGCGATGTAGCTATTTTTCAGGAGGCTTAAAACCCGCCTCAGCTCCAGCTCTCAGCCTGCTGTTAGGTTGACTGAAAGTTAAGCTGAGACAGCCCCCTGCCGTAACAGACGGGTGACGTCACTAAGGCTTCACCCATTAATATTTGCAGTATATGATGTAACTGCATTGAATTCATGAAGAAAACTTGAATGTTGTTAAGAATACAGTGTAACCTGCTAACTGTATGCAGATTTTATTTAAATTGGCAAGCCAAGAACTAACATTTTTGACAATTATGTTTTTTTTCTTTTCACACTTTGCAATGTTTTCTGCAATAAAGTTGCTATGCTGGAATTCAAACCAACAGATGATCCAGATTGTTACCATGTTTAGCGTCCTTGTTGATATCAGCTTCCATCCGGCAGAAAACATTTTGTCTACAAACTGATTCTAATGTGGGTTTCATTGACAAATCTGTGAAACTTTTCCAACAATAATGTGTGTCTTTTCTTTTTCCTTTGCGTGAATCCCTGTGTGTGTGTGTGTGTGTGTGTGTGTGTGTGTAGAAGTTTAGCTGTGAATGTGAACACAACACATGCGGGGAGAGCTGTGATCGGTGTTGCCCTGGTTACAACCAGCAGCCCTGGATGGCGGGAACCTTCAACACCCGACATATCTGTGAGAGTAAGAAAAACACAACACCATGACAAATTAATTGAATTACATACATTTCCAAAAACTTTTAAATCTTGTTTTAAGTTTCTGTGGTAGTCTAGGAAACCAAATGCCCTTTTATATTCATATCCAACAGTACACCTAATGTCCGCATAAACACAGGTTTTACAGAATGATACTATGAGGCAGTGCACGGAAATTTATATTCCTGTCAGCCAATTTAAATCACTCTTTGATATAAGACTCTATAAAGCCATCAGTAGTCACCTTTTGCATCCATTGACCTTCATGATCTGTGTGGCATCAGAGCGACGAGGTTAGAGGCGTCCACCTGTCATCATAAAACCAGTGTTACAACATGTAATCTTCATTTTATTTCACACAGACTGCACCCTCTAACAGGCTTGGTAGTCTTAAGGGTCTGATAACGGCCCTCTCTCTCCCGACACTGACACAACAGGAGTAAAGGAAGGGGGTGTTTAAGGTCCTGACTGCCACAGTAGTAAAAAAAAAATCTTGGACAGATCCAGCCCGTTCAGCGTGAGACCAACGCTGAACAAGTCATTCTCGCTGAGTTTGAAGTTGAGAGGTGCTGTGGCATATTTCATCTGCTTCAAAATGTTTTCAAATAGGGATCTTATTGTGGAGGATGAAGTAGTTAATGATATAACACACCTCAGGGGGAGCTTAAGTGAAACAAAGGAGCAAAAGGCAGCGCCGTCCAGAAGCACAGCACTGATTTACAGGTCAGGAGTGCCAACTCTGGGACCAGACCTCATAGATAAGGGTCATTTTTTCTGTTTAGTTGTTTTTAATGCCTGTTATTGCTGCCACTGGGTGGGTGTCAGTCGAAACAGCTTCAAAGTTTTGCGGTTGTATGTAGAACCTGCAGCTGTTAGATCGAGGACTGAAGCCCCCTGCAGCTCTACCTATTGAACAACAGCGACACCCTGATTCCCACCAATATCATCTACCAGAAAACACCCTGAACACTGTCATTCATGAAAGAAGATTCTCATATTCCTTGACAAGGAATATGTCCAGGTTTTTGGCTTGTCAAAAATAAGCCATTACACACAGCAGTACCACAGAGGAACCACAGGCTGCTTCACTGTCGCCTTCCTCTTCAAGTCAGTCAGACAAATTCCCCTGTAAGAAAAACTGCATCTCCCTTATCTATTTTCAGAGATCCACACGGGGTTGCTGACAAAAAAAAAAAGTTATACCCAGTCCAGTTTTGCTGCGATGTGATGTGCTGTCATGTTGCAAAAGACTACCTTGTTCAATGTAAATGCATACAAGCACAACATTCTGGAAAAGTGAAGTCTTGCCTCGGAGTATTAGAAAAAAAAGAGGCCTGTAACCTTAACGGGAATGCACAACAATGGGGTTGATGTTTACCAAAACTCTGTGTGTGTGTGTGTGTGTGTGTGTGTGTGTGTGTGCGTGCGTGTGTGTGTGTTTTCAGAGTGTAACTGCCATGGTAAGGCAAAGGAGTGCTTCTTTAATCAGACAGTAGCAGACCTTTCACTCAGCCTGGACATCCACGGTCAGAATAAAGGAGGCGGAGTCTGCATCGGTTGCCGTGACAACACCGCTGGAATCAACTGTCAAACATGCCTTGCTGGATTCTACAGACCTGATGGCGTATGTCTTATGTGCATGCATGCCAATGTTTGAAATGATTTTCTGATGAATACATTAAAGAAGTTGGTTGCCTGTGTTACCTGTCCAGGTGAACCCTGAGGAGGAGGACCCCTGCATCCCCTGCTCGTGTGACTCGCAGGGCTCCATCAGCGAGTCATGTTTTGCAGATTCAAGCCATGGTACGCCAAGTATGCAGATATAATCTTTACTCTTTCCGTCTGTCTTTATTGCTGAATCCAGATGTTGACCCTCTGGACTTGTGGTCTGAAGCCCTGTTCTTTGGGCCAAGACTGCTGGCCAAATACTGGAAGAAGTCCTTTAAGATATATCCGGTAAACTGGATAAGCCATTATAAAAGAAGTGAATATAATATCCAAATGTCATCCATTAAACAGAAATGTCTGGTTTTCAAAAATGAAGCAGTTGTGCAAAAATACTGCAGTTCCTCGAGCTTCCACTTGAGGCTATTTCCAAAAGCCAAGGAACCCCTATTAGACCCCATATTAAAATACCAACAGAAATTAACAGTTTAACAGCCTGGTACCAAAAAGGTTTTTGTCCATTTGTCTACTGGTGAAAACTGAATGGGAGGTACATTTTCACTCACTCCCTTGTGTTGATTTTACTATAAGTTATGTGTTTTGGTCACTTCGAGGCAGCAACTGCTGGCTGTCTGCAAGAAGAAAACCAATGAAGTCACTCAGGTTGATTTTTTCATTTTAATATTGAAAAATAATCTTGCTTTCTGTGTGGTTTATGGCTTTATTGGCCATGCAAGAGGTCTGGGCTCAAGCTTTTCGATGAGTGAAACTCTTATATTGATATGATGGTATATTTGCAGTAATCTGCAGGTTTACTGTGCTTGCCGTATGTACCTGCCTTGTTGGGTCATTTAGTGTTTGTGATACAATGATATGTCAGCCAGTGTATAGGAGTCAGGATTGTGATTGGCTTGCTTCGAAGAGATTGCAGTTGACAGTAGCGACAAGAAGCCTAATTACTTTGACGTACATGGTTTGCGTTGGAACTTGTTTCTTATCTTGATTGACAGTTTGCCGTGATAGTAATTTCCATGCAATTACATTTCTTGCCCCCCCCCCCCCCTTGCTAGCCATTAGAAAAAAAGATGATTAAAGACCTTTTCCTTAAATGTTCACTTTTTACTCTGAGTGTCGACCTCTGCTTCTTATATACAGTCTGTGGATAACTCGCAGACTTCCCTGGACCATGTCCCCGAAAGTCCGAGAGTCTGCAGGAGTGTTGAATTATGACAGTTTTGGATTTAGCCTCAGTCTGTCAACATTTCTGGATATTTAATAGGACATTTAAATGATTCCCAGCTCTCTGTAGACACAAATACGGAGGTTTTCAGTGAAAGCCAACATAGCCTAAATTTTAATTAATTTTCATGTGATACTTCAGTAATTCCAGCATTTCATCGATTCTGCTTGATTTCCTGTGGGGTTGGGGTTAGCTCAGTTCATCTGCGGTTATAGAAGCTTCTGTTATTAAAAAGTGTCTTTGACAGAACAGAACCACTATTTATATGAGAGATAATTTTACTCCTCTTTGTACTTTGACTGTTTTTACATCTAGAAAACTGTTCTATTTTTGGTTCAGTCACTTCAAAAGAGATACCCGCTCTGTTCCACTCACTGCTGTTTTTTTAAATATATGTGTGTGTGTGGCTTTGTGTGTGTGTTTGATTGACAGGCCAGCCAGCAGGGTCGTGCCGGTGTAAGGAGGGTTTTGGGGGTCTGCGATGTGACAGGTGATACACAGACACACACACATACACACATACACATATCAAGAGACAGAGACACATAGTGACAGGTGAGCAGAACCTTTCAGCTGTTGTCTGTTTCAATTAGTGTTTGGAAAGCTTGCATTGAGCTCTTTGATGATAATAATGATCACCTTCCCACTTAGGTTTGTACCTCATGAAATATAAAGAAGTCTCCGAATAAATAGCCTCAGTTTGAATGCTCTTACATTGTTATTTTTATTGGCTGTTCTTCTCTGACTGCAATTAGATTTTTTTTTTTTGCTTTCATCTTCTTGTTTTATCTCTAATAGGCCTGAAACAATCAAGGGAAGTCTAAAGGTTAAAACTACAACCTGTGAATCAATAGAACAAGAAAAGAAAAGAAATACAAAAGAGTTCTGTCTGATCTTTACATCTGTCAACAAAGTGCTTCATCTTTAATCCAGTGATTGTTAATCACTTATTTTCTCATATTGCTTTAATTACTTGTTGTATTGACCCTATCACTGATTTCCCTGTTGGAAACATTCAAGTCTAAAGAAACTAATCGAAAACCAAACATGGTATTTATTTATATTCCATCAAACCTTTGACAAAGCCCCCAAAACAGGCCAGTGTAAGTGTTGTGTAAATCACCGCTCAGACTGCTTTTAACCCTTTGAATGCTGTAATAGAGTTTTGTAGTAAATGCCTTGAAAACAATCGTGTTTTTGGCAAAACACAGGTCATCACAAGTACTTATGCAAAGACATGAACAAACTATTTCTTAGCACTTTAGAAGTTGATAAAGCTCGGGGCGCCGGTGGCATGGTGGTCGGTGCACGCGCCCCCATGTGCAGGGGCTGTGGTCCTCCAGGGTGGGCGGCCCAGGTTCGGATCCAGCCTGTGGCTCCTTTCCCGCATGTCACTCCACATTCTCTGTCTCTCCCTGGTTTCTGACTCTGTCCACTGTCCTGTCTCTTGACACAGTATAGAGGCATGAAAAGCCCCAAAATGAACCTTAAAAAAAAGAAGTTCATTAAGCTCCAATTTTTTAAAATTTTTTGAAGCAGAGTGCAAATGTATTTTCAAAGGTTTCATCTGCCGAGAAAAACAGTGCCTGAAAACTGAACAACTATTTTTTAAAAGTGGAACAATGACAGTGAAAGCAAAACATACAGTATGGATCTATACATATATCCACAAAATATCCACAAATAATAACTTTTAAAAATAGTAAAAAATCAAATTTTCTATGTATTTGTTTTAAATGACTTCTTGCGGCCTGACTGCAGTACCTTTAGAGCCCATCAGAGGGCCGAGAGCCACATTTTGGGAATCTCTGTTTTAGACTTTTTCAAACTGAATTTTGCAAATAATGAATCCCTACAGCTAGATCTCAGCGACCAAACTTTGCTCGCTGTTTTCACCTTGTTTACATTTTACGTGCAGCTAACAATGATGTCATCAACGCATGTACATCTTGATGACTTGAAACACAACAGTTTTATCTTTCAGCTGCAAAATGAATGACGTCTCTGTCTATTCAAGTTTTTATTTCAGCTAATATTAAATCAGCAGTTTCTAAAGGAGATCAAGCATGCATGCCAACGTCTTCATCGATACTTAAGATTGTAAATACATGCACGTCACTTGTATTTCAGGGTACATCCTGGTCCAAACAGACACTTGGTTGTGGGCAGAATTGACCCTGAGATCTGCTGGTGATTTGACTGCCTCTCTAATATTCATCACTTCCATCTTTATAATCCTTATTAAACTGGTTTGTCTGCAGGTGTGCAGTGGGTTATATGGGCTTCCCATCCTGCCAGCGCTGTAACTGCAGCGTGGAAGGAAGCACCAACGCTGACCCGTGCATAACACCCTGCGTGTGCAAGGTACCTACACACTCGCACACTTCTATGTGCACAAATAATGACAAGTACTTTAAGCTAACCTTTGTAGCCCCGTCATCATTATCTTCAGCACATTAACACTGCAATAACATGCCTCCTGCTCGTAACGCAGTCTGAGGGCAGACCATAAACTTGGCTGCATCTTTCTTCTCGTTATCCCTCCATCATTCTCTCTGTGTTTCTGCTTCCTGCAGGAAAACATTGAAGGAGAGAACTGCGACCGCTGTAAACTCGGATTCTACAATCTCCAGGGTGAAAATCGACGTGGCTGCGAAAAGTGCTCCTGCATGGGCGTGGCCAGTCAGTGTACTGCCTCCACATGGACCTATCAGAATGTAGGAAATGTTACAACACTTTCTCTTTGTCATTAATTCAAGAAATATTTCTGTTTGAAATATGTTTAAGGAAGCTGTAAACATCACTTTAATATAAGCGGATCTATTTAGCCAAAGTGGCTTGTATTGCTATAGCGGAGGAAAACAAACATGTTACCAGAAACCGAAGGTCAGCTACATGTTCATGACAGAAATTACAGTGCAAACGTTTTGTTGCGCTCACCCTTATAGATAAACAAACTCACCTGTGAATTACGAATGTTTTACTTTTCTGGGCATTTTCGGCCCAAGAGGTTATTGAAACTATTTGACAGCAACTGTCCATTTGAGAGCTCCCTAGAGAACGTACGTTCAGATGTTTTTTTCCTGTTTGCATTGAGACCAAAAATAGGAGCAAATGAATTGGCAGAAGCTCACATTAGATGTCAACAACAATGAGATGGAAGTCACAAGGTGGTGTAACTGGATGCAAGATTAGAGTAACTGCAAATTTCTGCAGGACACATTCTGCAGCCCGTCAACGCAGCGCACTACTACGTTCACTGCCACTTGAGTCAATGCTCCTGTTTACACAGCGATCGCCGCTTGCCAACAGCACCACTATGCTACAGTTACAGATAGGCTACCATATGCAAAAAGCCACTGGAGACCATAAGCTCAGTTCGTGATATATTTATAATAATCTGCCTGTTTCAGGTTAACTCTCACTGTAAACTTCTGCTGATCATAGAGAACGAACGGTGAGGGCAAGCCCTCTTTAAAGAAGTTATGTTTAATGTGAGGTCTAATATCCCGAAAAGTCTGTCCTCTACCTGTCTCTAGAACTTTACAAAGTCCCTGGGGTCCTAAAAGTGACCAATGTATCAAACAGCCTTGACAGTGTTGACCTTTGAGGAAATGGAGGGCTGGAAGGCCCATAAAAGTAGAAGCGTTCATGACTTTTAGACATTACCTGTTCTGAGCTGAACACTTTCACGTATCCTCGCTCATATTGTCTAAAGTTTTCCACAAAAGAGGACTTGTTTTTTTAGAAATATGTTTCTTTATTTAATCTGTATTAGCTTAGCGTATAGGCTACCTGATTGATGACTAACAGAGTTTTACTGATTGTGTTGGCGTGCTCCCTGAAGTTTAGCATGTTAGCGGTGAGATTCTTAGCTACAGTACTCGTCAATTTTCCTCTGCGAGAAGACTTCACGTCGCAAAGATTTTAATGTAATAGTTAAAGGAGGGATGAGGATCAAACCCGGGTTCTGTTAAGGTTCTGATACAGTTATTGAGCTTTGATAATTTTATCCTTATCAATACAAATGAATGATCCCCATCCCCCATGATAGTGCCTCTTTTCTTTCATGCATGATAAAAGAACAGATTTCTCTGATTACACAAAGAGGTTTCACAGATGGCAGAAAAAAATGTTTGATCAATATCTTTGAAGCTCAGGAAAAATCCACCCAAAAAAATAAAAGTAAATAAATCTGGATCATCTGAATTATCTGGATTTCTTTAAATTAAAGTCGCTGCTTTATCGGTGTACAATAGTGGGTGGCAGTAGGATAATACGTGGAAATGTGAAGACATATCTTGGACCACGCTGGAGGTTAGAAAGCGTACGAGGGGAGAGAAAATAAGGGGGTAAAAGGCAGAAGGGGAGAAAGGAGAGGGCGAGAGGACAGGAGGGGAGAGAAGAAGGGAGGGGACAAGACGAGAGGTAAGGTGGAGGAGAGAGGTGAGAAGAGGAAAACAGTTTTTGACTGACAGGTGGGGAGGGAGGAGAGGGGAGAGGAGACGCTGACAGGATGACAGCTCTGATTTAGACACTGATAGTGTGTGTGTGTGTGTGTGTGTGTGTCTGTTTTTCTGTGAGTGTGTGTGTGTGTGTGTGTGTGTGTGTGTGTGTTTGTGCTCAAAAGGGGAATCCAAGGTCAGGTTAATTGCAACGACAGATGTGTGTGTGTGGCTGTCTGTCTTTCTCACACACACCGAAACACACAATCCTTGGGGGGGGGGGGGGGGGAAACTCTCCAGGTGTCAGCTGCAAGACTTCCTGTCTGACATGTGACAGATTTACAAAACCTTAAATCACAGCTCCAGTTTTACACTTTAGTTGATACAACTTCTCAATTCAAACAAGGGGGGGGACAGAAAAATAAATCCCAGGATGTATCATTTGAGATTGGACATTACAAAGTTTGGTTTAAACTCTGATTCATTCTAACCACTTAAACTCTAAAACACTTCTAAGGACTAATTGTTGATTTTGGCCCCCTGGTGGACAAGGCGGTGTTTCTAATTTCTTTGCTGATCTTGTCCACAGGTTGGTTTTTCCCTGACAAAAAAAATCTCATCGTGCTTCGCTTAGCTAGAGATTATTTCGCTTTGAGAGCTCACAGTTTGTTAGGTCTTAGAAAGCAGACTGTTACCTGTGTAAGTGGTTTTTTTTGGGGGGGGGAGGGGGTGACTCTTTCCTTATATAGATTGTCTTAATGCTTCAAAGTCTATTAAACTGATTCGATTCAGAAAATAAAGAACTTTCACTCGGAGAAAATGGCACTTCTCTCCTTTCTGTTAGTGACACGTACTGGCTGGGGGATCATTTATTGCTTAAATGTTGATTCACTTATGTGGCAGAGAAGGCTCTGCACGTTCCCGAGGCTGCTGCTCAGTGGACCCACACTGCATTGTGGGATTCAGTGGGGAGTGCAATAAGCCTCAGGGAGTCCAATCATCAGATAGATTTTGGATACACAAAGTGCACACACAATGAGATGCCACGTTGAGTTATAGAACAGGAGGAGTGTAGACAGCGCAGGGACACATTGACTAACACAGCCTGTATGCTATGTAGCTGGAAAGCATAACCAACAGCTGGACAATAATAGTGGAGCTTGTCAAATTATAAACTCCCTCTTTATTGGACATGACTGGGGACTTGCTTTAACATGTTGGCTGTCGGATGCTGCTGATCTTCTGACAGTGAGAACAACTCAAGTGATAGGCAGAAATGAATGATGTGTTTAAGCAGGACAGTCAGTTTGGTTTGAAATGACCTGACTACACTTAAAAAATCCCACAAAAATGACATTACATGAAAACGCATTATTGTCATCAGGCAAACAGTGACACAGACATAAATCTGTTCAAAGATACTGTACATATTTCTCTTGCAGTGTTACTATAAACTGAACACTAACACACAAAGTTAGAAGTTAAAGCTAACTTTTACCCTTAGACAGTACTGTATATAAGAAGTGGATGTAGCCATGACTGGATTCTGTTTTTTGTTGCCTTGAGCTCACCTCTGTGGCCGTTTGCCAACTTGTTGTCAACGGTGAAATAAGAGGGCTTCATTGGATGGAAACTTTAGAGCAACAAAATGCAGAACTTCTCAGTAAGAAAAACACAACTGTTCAACGCATTTGCATCTGAAATTTAAAAAAAAAAGACAACATATGAAACAGTGGCTTAACCTGAAGCAAGTCTGTGAGCACTGACTGTGCTTCCTCCTTAATTCTTATTTTACTGTGCCCTTATTGTCGTCTCTTTTTGTATTGTCGAGGTTAATGCTTCTGTTTTAGTCCTCGAAGCCAAACCATGGACAGGGGTTGCCAATTAGCCATGGCTAGAAACCTGTATGAATGGCATCTACTTTGTATTCAACATGTGAAGCCATGTTCATAGAATGTGTTAAATAATCATGAAATAAAATCATGAAATACTCAATGCTAACGCTTTTATCCTGGTTCATGTCAATCTCAGGTAGAAATGTCCTAAAGAATTCCCTGTTTTCCCCCTAAAATGGGATCATAGTTTAAAAAAATCTTGCCGTAATAAAGGAGACTAGAAACGCACGTGTTCCAACATAATCTCAGTAAATAAGTGTTTACTGAGCTGATGAATCCACTGAGGAGTAGGCTCATTTTCACACCTGTTGTGGTACGATCGGACTTCCTTTTCCTTTCCCCCTGCTTGCAATCAGAAAGAATACATGTTTAAAGCACCTCTGCATTAGCTTTCCTTTCAAATCAAGAAGCTTTTTCTTTTTCCTTGTGTAATCCTGCACCTCTGCAACACTCCTGTCCTGCCCATTGAGAGAATCCCCGAGGGGTTTCTGTCGTTGTTTTTTTATATCAGGGTGTCAAATTTGAAAAAGCTGCATGTGAAAAAACTTTTGTGTCAGAAGTATTTAAGTAAAAAAAAAAACTTTTCTGAGTAAAGGGAGCTGAAAGTTAAACAGGTCCTTCTGATTCTTGTCTCGTAGGAGACGAGCCTGACAGGTTGGCACCTGATTGGTGATACCGGAAGAAGAGTGTGGTCTGTTCACAGAGAGACTCCTCCATACCTGAGTGTCCGACACTCCGACGTTGTGAATGATCTCGGCTCGGCCTACTACTGGAACGCACCTGGAATGTACCTGGGGAACAAGGTTAGATACAGACACACACCTCCCTATGTTTATCGAAACTGTTTATACACTCTGCAATCAAATCCTGACGTACATTTCTTCAAACTGGAATGGAGGGGCGTGGTAGTTGGTGTCCGCCCCATGTCCGGGGGCTGTGGTCCTCCAAGCAGGCAGCCCGGGTTTGAATCTAACCTGTGGCGGCTTTCCCTTGTGTTGTTCCCCACTCTCTCTCTCTCTCTCTCTCTCTCTCTCTCTCGCTCGCTCTGATTCCTGACTCTGTCCCCTGTCCTGTCTCTAGAGAAGGGCATGAAAGGCCCAAAAAGAAGCCTTTAAAAAAACAGTGGAATAGAAATAGTCAAACATTTGAAGAATATTGCAATAATGCTTTCCCCTTCTTCACTAAACTTAAGTGGATATTGCTCCCAAAATGCTGAATGATGATAATCTTTGAATCCAGGACCCAACAAAATAACAGTTATGTGATAAAATACATCGCCTCACAGAATACAAGCAGCTGCATCAAAAGTTCACCAGAGTTGAATAACAGCTCTCTCACACTGACTGAACACAGACCTTATAATCTTCCCAAACAACTGCAGTATGTTTGCGAAACTGTTAACTGGATGGAATCAGATTGAAATACGTCCCTGGTGCGAAACAGTCTGGTTTGATAATCAGCTGCGTCTGCACATTACCTTATTTTCAGTACTTTATTATTTTGAATTTCCAAATGCAAACTGCTCTCTAATGCCGCATGGTTGAGACCGGGATGCTGAGTCATGTTTGAGGATGATGAGAGAAAGTAAGGAAGTCTATAAAACATACTTATTGCTGCACACTTCATGTTTTTGCACTTGCGTATCTGAACGCCCAAGTTTATATATTTTGTATGTGTGATAGCAACACTTTTCTGTGTCAGTACACTTATATGTATGTCCAAGATGTTGCAAAACAACACACAATTCAAGAATGAAAACTTCTGTAGATGGTGAGAAAGTGTACACAGGAATACGTATGTGCACACATGAGTCATGACGTATGAGTCATCAGAACATATGGAGGAATGATTAAGTGACATTATGTCTCTTGTCTCCACTTTTTTCCATTTGCACACACTCCCCTCTCACTCATTTGATCTGCACACTCCCCTTCTGCCTGCATTTCTTCCATCCACCTCTCTCTCTCTCTCCCCCGCTTACTTTTGAATAACATTTTTTGAATAAAACCCCTTCACTCTAAAGAATATAGTTAACTCTAACCCGAACACTTTGAAGTGTACGTGAGCATAGCCAATAGAAAAAAGATTGACGACATGACAGCCCCTCCCCAACAGTGAAGCCGCAGTCTCTCCAAGATCTGAATATCCTCAGGGAACCTTAAGTACCAGCCAATCACTGGAACGAGGGAAATATGTTCCACAATTCCATCCCAACAATGCTGTGATGTATGGAGGTATGGATGTATGGATATACCAGTTTAATAAGAGTATGTTTCTATTAGCTAAAGGTTCTTATTATGCTTGATTCATGAAGGTGCAGCACCCTCAGCGTCCCTGCTTCTGGTGTCCTTGCTGCCAGACAGAAAAAACTTTATTATTCTTTAGGGTTGCACCAACAATCACACCAGTCAAGGTTAAAACAGCCTCTTCATTGTGTCATTTTGTCTAGTTCCAATATGATAACACTGCCATAAGTTAAAGTTGAGCTACAGTCTAACATATGATCCGACTGTTGGTTGACTTTCAGATTGCTTCTCACTGACCGTTAGCATAACAACATTAGCATCGCTAACCATTTCACACTGTAAGGATAAGGTTTACAGGCAATATGTAAAAAGCTGGTGTGAGGCTACATCATTAGCACAGCCTTGAATACATAAACAGATCCCGTTTGTGATCTAAAAGAACATCCCCTGGCTTTACGTCTGCTGAGAACGTGTCATGCTGCGATGTTCACCTCCCTTCCAGCCTTACTTCTCAATCCTGCAAACGTCGACCGTTTGAATTTACGCTGCCGTTTTTCAAAGTTTTTTTTTTTTTTTATCTCTTCTGTGACCGCGATTAGACTTTATCACTCCAGCTGGCAAATAGCTGCAGTCCATGTTTGTGAAGTAGAGTTGTTGCCCTGCTACAACAACAGAGCCACTGTGATGTTAGTCTGGGTGTCATGGCTTAGAGGAATATAGCACAGAATTTCATTACTTTATATCCTGCAGGCCTGGCTTGTCATCTCACTTCTTTGTCTGAAACCTCTATCCCTCCCTCCCTCCCTCCAACCACCCCTCTGTCCCTGCTCCTTTTCATCGGGCCCGCTCCTCTAACTCTCCCGCCATCTCTCCAGGACTCCCATTTTTCACCTCCCTGTTCCTAAATCACCTCCCCTCAATCCCCCTGAGCTCTTCTTCTTCTCTCTCTCGCTCCCTGTGTCTCTCCCTCCTTCTTTGTGTCTCTCAGGGTAAACAGTGTTTCGCCTGTTGAACTCGATAATCAACTGTTTTTCTCTTAGTGCACACACACATACATACAAAAACACGCACACACACACACACACAGAAAAACATATTCTCATTCGCACACACACACACACACACACACACACACACACACACACACACACACTCCGAGGCCTATATAAGTCAGATAATGATGTGTTTTGGAGGCATTAGGGACAGCGGAGCAGAACCGAATGCCTCCAAACATGGGAAACAAACAAATTACCACTGTGTGTGTGTGTGCTTGTGTGTGTGTGTGTGTGTGTGTGTGTGTGTGTGTGTGTGTGTTTGAGTCTGAGTGCACGTATGTGTGTGTGATGGCTTCGAGCAGTGTGCAAGCGCTGTATAAAAAAAGCGATTCTTTGCTTCAATCTCTGATCATGTTACCGAGATAGATGCTATGTGACTTGCAACCTCTCCGTGCACACACACACACACACACACACACACACACACACACTTTGCTCCGTCATGTTAGTGTGTATCATTAGAAGTGACAGGCTGTGTGTGCAATGACAAGCTAGCAGTAGATGTATAGGAGTGTAAATGTATGTGTGTGGTGTTTATAATTCTCTTGTGTGGCCGTGTCGTTAATGTCGATGAGGCTCATTGGCCCCGTTGTTGCGCTTAGTGGATGCTCATTGGTTCAGAAGTGCTTTCCTTTGATGTTTATTGGGTATTTTTTTTTTATCAGCCTGTGTTGGTCCAGAGGCTGCTTAATCAAGAGGATAGCCTTTGCTCTCACAAGAGTATACTTGTGTTTTCAGAATTTTTTGAATTTTTTAGGGTTTTACTAAGCAGTGAAAAGTTGGGCTCAACGTGCAGTCAAATATAAACTTTTAATCATCAAGAGTGAAGTATTATTCAATTGTAAGGTTTTCTTGTTTGGAAGGCGTTTTGTGACGCTTCTGATTTGTGAAACTGTGGGAGGAAGACGCTTTTAACTGGTTCCAAACTCAACAACACACAAGTTAAGGTTTTAACCAAAGTCCTACTAGTGACCGCCTGCCCCCTAGAATTGGTGAGTTGGTATTCCTATTTGGAAATTGGAAAAAAAAGAGAAAAGTGAGATGGTCAGTACAGTTTGGTTGTGCTCATACTATTAAACAAGTGTGTGAATTTAATCAACTGTAATCAAGCTTCCATTTAAGTTAACGTACAGAAACAGGTCTTAGCTAAGCCCATTTCCTAGTTATATAGAAACTCGTCTGAAATGCTCAAACCAAGATTTTATACATAATGAGTTTGAGAATGAGGTTCTCCCAGTTACAGCCTGCATCTTGACCACTGCAACAAACACAGTGATTAGCTGGTGAACATTGTGGAGCAATTTTCAGCTTAAAAGACAAGTATATCTCTACAGTTTGTGGAGACAAAAAAAAAGAAGCTAAATCTTAAATTTAATTGTACTTTTACAAGCTGCCCAGGCAGGATGGTAAGGCCAATGGTGCAGGCAAATGAACTATATGAACGTCAATGTAATAACTTGTTTTACTGCCCCTGTATGGAAATCAGAGAATGAGTTACAGGAGTCAAGTCAGGATCTTACCCTATGGTCAAGTTTCAGTTTTTCTGGAGCCCTTACCAGCCAATTATTATAAGACACTTTTTGGGAGTTGTCCTTCAGTACACTGCTCTGACGCATTGTTTAGTATCCAAAAAATATCTTCCATCAGAACTTTTTCAGCCTGCAGGACAGCCAAATGCTAACCTACTTTTATCCATTTTGGCCCAAGATTTACAAACGGATTCTTAGCTGAGACGGACAAAATGCTAAACAAAATTAATGGAGTGACAGAAATGGAGAGAAAAAAGATTGAACACATATTTTTCTGACAGCTGATGAAAGAGCTGGAAATATGTTGAAACATGACAGACGCACACAAACAAACAGCTCAGCTTTTGTTTTCCTTTCTATCCTGACTCGCTCTCTAACTCCGCCGGTGCATTTTGTTCTCCCCACTTCTCAAACTATTTTTCATTTTCTTGTCTTTTACGTTGTCCTTTAAAGACGAAGTGATGGAAAACAATAATCAGTTAAAAGGAAAAACCTGCTACAGGTGCAATCCTGAGGCAGAAAAGTGTTCAGAAAAATGCTCCAGCTTCACCTCGGTTTATAGAGGTTGGCATCTCAAAGCTTTGATGAATGAAATCTGTCTTGAAGGTGTTTCTGTAAAATACTTTGTGGGAAAACGTTCTCCTTTTTTTTTCTACAGGAGGAACATCACCTTCTGCTGAGCTGTGACTTATGTGTGTGTAGAGGAGTTTGTGTATAGTGCCACTTCTAATCTGGTGCTGATTTCATGAGATGGATTTCCCCTCCCATTTTCACACTTTCCTCTCTCACCTCCCTCTTCTCCTTTTTTTTTTTTTATTTTTTTTTACTTACAATGCTGGAAAAGTCGTTTCACATCAATCACAGTGGATTTGTTCCAGTTTTCATCAACCAAGTAATTTGGTGTCACGTTCATTTGTGTTCCTGGAAAGTGAGTGGAAAGCTCAATGCAGCAATCCCATTGCCAAGAATTCAT